GTACAAAGGGCAGGTGAGATCCTTCTGAAACAAGGATGTTAGGGCTTACTGAGGGTTTAGGGTTTAGGGTTTAGAGCTTTAAGGTTTAGGTTTAGGTTCTTTTGGAGGGTGTCTGAGGGCTAGTTTTGAAGTTTCGGGTTTACCGGGCTTAGTTGTGACCCAGCAATCTTTATAAGGGTATGGGAAGGGTATGGGCTGTGTCTTTGGCGACGACGGCAGTGTGTCTGGGAGGGTAGGGTGCAGGGCATTGGGACTAGATTCGGATTTAGGGTCTTACGGTTTCGGGATTGGGGTTTAGGGTTTATGGTCCTGATCCCAAGTAATAATCCCTGGCCTTGAATCTGACAGCATACAAGCCATTGCATTTCAACCTTGGCCAGAGCATGGTCACTCTTAGTCTTCCCTAAACCCCTAAAACCCTAAACCCTAAATCCCTAAATTTAAACTTAACCCTAAACCCTAAACAACTTCAGATTCAATCCTCGAACTGAGCACCACACTTCCCAAGGACCTGCTTGAAGAAGCATATGTGTTTCCGAGAAAGAATCCGGGGCACGGTTTCCAAGACGAAGGCATCAGGTTGAAGTTTTCGGATATTGTCACACACCTTGGATGGAGAGGCTTAGGGTATTATGTTGTGATGCCGTGGGGCAATAGTCCCTAACTACTAAAGGGTACTTTGTAGGAACCCCCTTAGGGGAACTATTGTTTAGATCCTTTTGGGGGTCTGGGAAGGTATTCCAATCAGGTATTCATGAGGTATTCCCTAAACCCTAAACCCTAAACCTCAGGTATTCATGAGGTCAGCCCGAAAGGTTGGTCTTCTTTTGTTTGGTTTGGGTGCTCTCTCAAGGCAGAGAGACCTCTACCGCCCCTAAACCCTAAAGCCCTAACCCCAAAACCCTAACCCCTAAACCATTCCATGTTGCCTTCAAGAAGAGGCGTCCCCTGGGATCAAAGCGGCCTCTGCCCTTTCCGCTTTGCGCAAAGGGTTGGCATGGCACACCAGCACCATATAAGTGGATGTGCATCCGCAGGTCTCGGTATGTGACAAGCAGACACACACACACACACACATGTGCACACACACGATGACTGGCCATGGCCCTTGTCCCTGCAGAGACCTGCTGACCAGCGGCTGATCGGTCGCTGAGCATCATCAGATAAAATTGCCGGGGAATATAAATAGGCAATACGATCTCGCAAGTTCTTGTTGCTCTCGGATGCATACACCAATTTGTGTCGTAGTCCCGCCAACCTGAGATGAGTTAATTTACTATGGTTTGAAACTGTTAGCACCACTCCCTAAAACCATAGAATAGCTTTAGAATAACCCGTTAACTTAAACCCTAGCCTAACCTTTAACCCCGAATCCCTGGTTTGGTCTTCAGGGTTGAGGGTTCAAGGCTTGAAATGTCTTCGAAGCTTTCCTCGACACTGTGCAAATTTTTGATTTCAAATCAAATACATATTGCACCCCAAATAAACTCAAAGTCCTGAAGTCCAAACCGCGTGCCCTGAACCCAACCCTTAAATCCTTAGCCTAAATAGTAACATCTCCAACTCAAGGAGGATGGCTCGGAGCGGCGAAGATCGTGATTGTCACCGGGCGGAGTTTCAGGATTTGGGGCTTTAATTGTTATAGGAGTTTAGGGTTTAGGCTTTTGGGGTTCAGAGCTTGGCTTACAAAGATACACCCTAAAACCCTAAACCATAAAACCCTTTAAACCACACTGACTGACCACTATCCAGCAGGCCACTTGCAGCAGACACTCAGGGGCTCTAGGCCAGCAAAGTCTGAAGCCAGATGTAGAAGCATTGCATTGCAAGGGTAAGACCAAGGGGTGAATCATGTGAGGTTTAGGATCCAGGTGGTATGGCTTAGTTTACTGGCAGGGGTTTCGTTTGTATCTTGAAGGTCATAGGATCAAGTATTCAAGGTATGCAGACCGGCTACAACTGGAGGCTGTGGGGGCATTTCTAAAACACCTCGAGCATGTGCAATAATCAGTCCAACAGAATTTCCAACATGCATGCGCTGCACCAAGCGGAACAATTCAGTGTCCGGCAATACACAAGCACGCACACTCAGACTTCCAGCAGGGCCGTGTTGAAGTTGTCAAGTGCTTCAGCAAGGCGGTGGCCAAAAATGGGACTATCAAGCATGATTGAGCATACGAGAACCCCCTGGAACCTAGCATTGCTCATTGATGCTGCTTGGACCTCATAAACAGACGTATTGAGGTAGCCCCTGGCCCGCACCGCTAAACAAGGCTCTCACTTCAGGTTGAAGAGACTCTTCGCCAGGGACGACTTGGCTTTTGCTTTTTTCTTCGGAGCCACCTACTTAGTTTACAGGGGGGGGGGGGGCATTGGTCATTGAAGCCGATAAATCATTTAATGACCTGCCTGTGCCTTGCCACGTCCCCGTCCGCGGCCACGTCGGCCACCTTTTCCGCGCCCTTTGCCCTTCTTAAGATTCGGAACCTGCAATGGCAAGTTACATATGGGGTGCTACTCTTAAGCAGGCAAACAAACTAAGCTAACTATGCTATGGATTCGAGTTGAAGTTTCGGACTACCAGGAATTAAAATGGTCTAATTCATAATCTGGCCTCTTCATCACCTTCATCATCTTCTTCTTCCGACTGTTCATCCATGTCTTCGCCCTCATCATCATCTTCATCGGCTTCGTCATCTTCATCGCCATCCTCCTCCTGTGATGGCCCTTCATCCGCCGAGCCAAGATCTTCCTCGTCTTCATCTGTCTTCTTCTTCTTCGAAGAGGATGGCTTGGGCTTTGGCACCTAGGCTGCAGCAGTAACTAAATCCTGACTTCCCTAAACCCGTGAGCCCCCGAAACCCCCAAACCCCTGGCCCTAGACAACCAATGCAAAAACAAGGTATTTTTAATCCCCAAATCCCGAAAGCCAGAACCCCTAAACCTCAAAATCCCTACACCCTTGTATCAATAAAGGCACCGCCTTGCGCTTCTTCCCCAAGAGCTGAACCAGCCCGGACTCATAAAGCGGAGAGTCCGCTTTTTGAAACTCCTGGAACACTTGAGCCTCAAGTCGTCGATACAACCCTTCCTTGTGATGATCATTGAACGTGATTCCCACCAGCTCGGCCCTCCGCTTGATAGCCAGCATACACGTCTTGCCGTCACCGACAGACAAGTCCAGCATGCACTGGATGTTGTAGGCATGAAAGAATTCTTCCACCTCGGTTCAGTTTCATGACACGTCACAACCTCGAAATCAGCTTTGGCCCTAACCCTGAAAGGCCCAAACCGGAGGGTTTTGAAAGGGGTCTAAGTCGTGGGGCTTTAAGGTCTGGGGTCTTAGGGTTCAAGGCTTGGTGATTGCACACAGAGGTACAGCAGCTTCCGGCAGAGCATGGTAGCTCATCGGCTCCTTGTCACTGTCTTGGCGGCGTCCTGGGTGAAGGGCTTTGGGCTTGTAGGGTTTAAGAAGGTCGAAGGCTGTTGAATTGTGAAAGGACTTTATACCCTAAGCCCGAAACCCTAAGCTCTAAAAACTTAAAGCCTAAACTAGCCGTAGTCAATCAAGCTTTGGGAGTCTGTATAGATTTCAGGGTATTGTTTAATGTGTAGGACCTAGGGGAATTCGAAGTTAATGGCATGAATTATGGTAGCAAGCAGCCTCCACCTCCATCGTCATCGGGCTCGTTCTTGCCACCAACACGGACCATCTGATTTCCATAAATGTCTTTCTTCTCGGAAAACGTCACGATCCAAGTCTCACTCTCGTCCTAGTTAAATTAAGTGACACCACAATTTCACCGACTACTAGGCTTTGTTAAGTTAGACTGAGGCAGGCAAGGTCACTCCTCCCACGATGGTGCCTGGATCGGCCCGACTATCTCTCCTCGTGTCGAGCCACCATAGTGGCACCGGTCACGATACGGCGCGACCGCGCCGTCGTCACTGGTCACGATATAGACACGTTCAGCATTGTAAACGTGGTGGCCCTTGTCGCGCTTTCGCCGGCTTCTCAAGCTCGACTCCGAGACATGTAGCATCAGCGTGGACTTCACCTTGTTGATACTCTCACCTTCCGGCCCTTTGATTGATCCCAGCATGGCGGATTGCACTCCTGATGCATTGCACTGATGCGTGAAATTGAGGATGATCACACGGGTCATGAGTTCAGTGTGTGAGACCAACCCCCCGAATCACCAGCCCAGCTTGTAGTGGACAATGCTTCGATGTCCGTCTGAATGGACCACAATTCGCTATCCAGCCGAATGGACCACACTTCGCTATCCGCACTCATGGACAATGCTTCGATATCTGCCCACATGGACAATGCTTTGATTCATAGTACTATTAAGCTTAGTCAGTACACTTAGAGCTTTCACTTCCAAGATGCAAGCGGCCTTCTCGTCCTCCGTCTAGCAATAGGATCACATCTGACGCCGGCAAACATCCCTCGGATGTCATTCGGCAAGCCAATGCTGCTTGCATAAGCTTGGGAAGTCTTCCTTCTCGCAAGGGAGGCATGCGAACGGACGGCTGTGTGGCCGCCTCCCCACTCAGCTTTGAGTCCTGGGAATTAAAGAAAAAAGCTTAAGGATTTCTTTTCGCACACCATCCGACAGCCGAAGCAACTCATAATTCCAGCAGGGGCTCGAAGTAGATTGCGACAGACCTGTTGAAGATGGTCCTCAGTTAAGTGCAGTTGGCAGTCCATTGGATATATGTTTTAAAATGGGAATCAAGAGTTTGTAGTCCCACAACACAGTATGTGAAGCCGGGTGTCTGGTCTTGCAGTTGCGAAACCTCACCCTTCCATTCAGGGACTTTGGTCGCACGAAGGGCCTTTGTCATTCCTTTCACATTCACATCCTCGTTCAGAAGGAGCACGTGGGTGCGCACCATCTTCATTGCTTTCTCTTTGAACCTCAGAATGCAGAAGTTGAGGTCTTGACTTAAAGGCTCAAATCGAAGGGGTCTGAAGGGGTTTCTATGGTTTGAGGGCTTATAGGGTCTAGGTCGGCTTCTCGGGGGTTGGATTAAAGTAAGAAACTTAAA